ACACGTGGCGGAAGTTTATACTCCATGGAGTACATATAGCATTTTCATTTATTAAAACCAATTAATTAAGGAAAATGTAAATGGATAATGGAATTGAATAGGTAAAGTAACGAGATGAAACTATGTCACGGAGAAAAAATTTGTATTGATTGTGAGATTGTAAGTTGATTACAAGGGATTGAATGAAATGCTATTTACAATAACACTTGTATGCCTAGACGACCAAGTAGATGAAGATGTCCTAGTCAAGACAAATAGATAGCTACTTATACTTATCCCAAAGGTTGAATCCCCAACTCTAAGGTGCCCTCACACTCCGACCTGACAGAGCATGTGGGAGGATGTAAATCACAGTGACTCAATGGGTTAGTAGATAGGGCCAAATGCCGGTGCGCACAAGGAATCTGCCCACTTTTGACATAATTCCCACACTGTCGCCGCCGAAGTTTGAACCTTGGTCTCTTATCCCAAATGGGATAGCTACTTATACTACTAAGCCTCCAAACCGCCCCTTAAAAAAGGAGGAGCTAGTTACAATCACCTCATGCTAAAGTCGGCAAATTATATCGTGTACAAGGGCGCACAAAGAATTGTGCGCCTTGGTCCAAAACGACGTCGTTACGATGTCGTTTTGTACCTTTTTTTTTTTTTTTGAAATTTCATTCCTGTGTCTGATGTTAACTTCTTTAAAAAAGAAAATTCATGTTTCGAATGTACATAATTGTATAACAAAATACACACACTTTTTTGAAAGGATAATACACATAATCTAACATAATACACATAAACTCTTAACTTTTAAAAAAATTTTATGTTTCAAATGTACATAATCGTATAATAGAATATACATAATTGTATAACAGAATACACATACACCCCATCGCGTCAACTTCCCACACAACTTAACAAAACAACGTCGTTTTGGGAGGGTGAGGCGCACAATGTATTGTGCGCCCTGGTGCACGATATAACGATTGGCTAAACTCATGGTGGGTCACGAAACTAAGTCAAGGCTCATTATTTTGGGCTTGGAGACAGGCTCCGGATTAGGAACTCTTCTTGAACTGCTCGGGTTATTTTCTTGGATCCCGAGCGATGTGCTACTAGACCTCGAGTCTTTATTATAGGGTCATTTTCAATATATCCATCAATTCCTATGATAAAATCTATATCTATATCCATTTCCCCCCCCCCCCCCCCCCCAATACTTAGGGACATTTATGTAATATTCATGTATTAATTAATTATGGAAATAATATTATGGTAATATAAACCTGAAATATTCATTTTAATTTACTTGCATAGTGAATTAACGTGCATACTGCATAGTGCATATATTATTTATGTAATATTCATGTTTATATGTTTTTTTTTAACAAGTAGCGTTAAGGGCTTACGTGGTTCGCTGGGCAAAATAGCAATCAAGCAAAAGCTAAATCGAATTGAGTGGTGAGAACATTGTAGATGAAGGCTTTTTCTCATCCTACTTTGTCTTTTTCTCATCCTACTTTGTCTTTTTCTAGAGAGAGTGGGAATGTGATGGTGAGGAAAGAGAAAAATGAAATAGAGAGATTTTTTATTTTTTTTTAACCAGAAGTTTCTATGTTTTTCTTATACAAATTTTTAATGGTAAATTTATATTAATAAATAATTGTTAAGACAAGTATAATTTATTTTATATTGAGGACACATTATTTTTAATAAATTTGATGTAATAATATTATACCTTAATTATAAAAATTCTACCTAATAATTTTAGTATTAAATGTCATACAATAAGTACCATAAACAATGTTTAATAATTGACAAATTCTATTATGCAATAAAAATTACTATTATAAAATCTTTGGTAATATGTACAAATTATTTTTAATTATTTCGGTTTAATAATATTATATCTTATTTATAAAAATTCGAAATAATACTTTTAGTACTATTAAATATTGATTAACTAAAAATTATCTTAATTCTTAAGGCAATTAATAGGTATTTAGCTTTTAAAAGTTTTCAAACATATGAATTATACATAGTAGCATGGAATCAATTAGTAGGACAATTATATTAGGCAATCTAATTAATAATTTACATTTAATATTATATCCCTTTTTTAATAATGAATATTTTCTTAAAATAAATACATAGACTATGCTTATCTAAATAGAATTAAAAGTGTGTGTGTGTGTGTGTGTGTGTGTGTGTGTGTGTATATATATATATATATATATATATATATGTGTGTGTGTGTGTGTGTGTGTGTGTGTGTGTGTGTACATATATTGGTTCCTGTGAAAACAGGTCTTCCCGTGCGGTCAGTGCGGCATACACAATTAAGTATGCATAAATGCACCATACAGTGTTCGAGAACACACCAGATTGAAATGCCAAAAAATTCACCACAAAAAAAAAAAAAAATACACCACACATAATGGTATATTTTCGAACACTATATGGTGCATTTATGCATACCTAATGGTGTATGTCGCACTGACCGCACGGGAAGACCTGTTCTCACAGGAACCTAACTCTATATATATATAGGGAAGGGATCGATCAGGTGCGGGTGGTGCTTCCCGTGCGGTTGTGCGGGTGGGCTCACATTAAGCATTACACTAGCGTACTTTAAGTACACAACAGACGCACATTAAACACACAAACAAAATATATTCAGAACACAAACTCAAGCACCTTAAGTACAAAACTCACGCATCTTAAGCACAACCCTCGCGCACTTTAAGCACAAAACTCACGCACCTTAAGCACAAAACACACGCACCTTAAATTTTAACAACAACTCACATTAAGTACACACTCACGCACATTAAGTACAAAACTCACGCACCTTAAGCAGAAAACCCACGCACATTAAGCACAAAACTCATGCACTTTAAAGTTTCAACAACAACTCACATTAAGTAAACACTCACGCACATTAAGCACACAACTCACGCACCTTACGCACAAAACACACGCACATTAAGCACAAAACTCATGCACTTTAAAGTTTCAACAACAACTCACGTTATGTAAACACTCACGCACATTAAGCACACAACTCACGCACCTTAGGCACAAGATTCACGCACCTTAATTACAAAACTCACGCTCATTAAACACTACACACTCACGCACATTAAGCACAAACCTCACTCATCTTAAGCACGAGACTCACGCACATTAAGTACAAAACTCACGCACATTAATCAACCGCACAACCGCACGAGAAGCATTATATATATATATATATATATATATATATATATATATATATATATATATATATATATATATATATATATATATATATATATATATATATATATATATATATATAGGGAAGGGTTCATGTGCGGATATAGCTTCCCGTGCGGTTGTTCGGTTAGATCTGAGTCGTTGATCAAATCTAAATCAACGGCTCAAATCAATGAAAATTTAAAAAAAAAAAAAAAAAAAAAAACGCGTGTTTGGAAGAAAGCCACGCACCTTAAGTGTTAGATCTTAAGCACAAACTCACGCACCCTACATTATGTACAAAACCCACGCACATTAAGTACAAACTCACTCACATTAAGTACAAAACCCACGCACATTGTTGGACAAGAAGACGCGCTTTTGGTAGACGCTTTTGGTTTTGGTAGACGCTTTTGGTCATTTAGACGTGCTGCATGCTTCTTCATCCGACACACATTAAGCGCAATCTCACACACATTAAGCACAAAATCCACGCACTTTAAGTATTAACTCACAGACTTTAAGTTTCAACAATTACAATTACTGATATTAATCACTATCCTCACGCACATTAAGCACAAACCCTACGCAAATTAAGTACAAACTCCACTCACATTAAGAACAAATCTCACGCACCTTAAACACAAAAGCCCACACTTTAAGTTTTACTAACTATTCACATTAAGCACAACCCCACACACATTAAGCACAAAACTCACGCACCTTACGCACAAACCTCACGCATCTTATATACAAAACTCACGCACATTAATCACAGATCCGCTCACATTAATGTTGACCTAAATAAAAAAATTACAAAATTGCCACCGCGTTTTTTTAAAAAATTTTAATAATCCTGGACGTTGATTTAAGCGAGATGAATGGTCCAGATTAAATCGCACAACCGCACCAGAACCTAATTCTATATATATATATATATATATATATATATATATATATATATATATATATATATATTGTAAAGCCAGCAAATGTATAGATATTGTCATATTGTAGTGTGTTTGCACATTTGCAGGTTTGTGTGGATACTTATCAAGTGGGTTGTAGTCCACACACGTATGCAAATGATACATTATTCATTTATTTGTATAATGCATATGGTCCATTATTTCTATACGTATGTTCATTATTTGAATGTGTATAAAATAATATGAAAATAATTTGAGGGTACATTATTTATATGCATATGACCATTATTTGAGCTTGTACAAATTGATTAAAGGTTAATTATTTAGGTATGTATATTCTATACTCATTTATGTTAGTTGTACATAAAGTTCATTTACTTGAATATAACTGAACTTATTTAGCACACTCAACCCTTTTTACTTAGAAAATTAATATTTAGTAAATCAATATTTGTTATTTGTATGCATAAAATACATTATTTATGTGAATGTGTTTTGATGCATAGTCCACAACAAAATTTGTCGATTTTTGTTGATTGAACTTCTTTTGCTTCACTTAGTACCTCAGCATCTCCAACTATTGATGCATGACAATATATAAATTCAAACATAAGCTACTTTAAAAGGAAATTAACTTCACTCTAAAAAGTAATCCAACATCTTTTACTAGTTTACCATTAATAGCTTATCCTCGGAAATCTTAACCCCTTAGGGCACTAACTAATCCAATACCTTCCAATTTGTGCCACAAAATCTTTCTAGCTTTAAAGGCTTAAACCAATTGCCTTAGCCACCTACTGACTACCAATTGGTTCACTTGTCTCTTTCCATGCAAACTGCATAAACAAAAGAAGAACTAACCCATTTCACTGATCTTGAATTGGTACCAACCTTTGAATTTCTTTCTTTCCTTCTCTCCAATTCTGAGATGGGGTGGGAACATTCTTAAGATTACACGTTTAGAATAATCCAAAGGAATGGCGACAGGAAAATGCTTTCTTACATTTGAACTTTGATATTACAACACTACAACAGAATGATCAACATTCTATCCTGAAAATTATGCAGCTGGCCGAGGGTAAGTAGCGTGTGCCTACACTGGGCTTGGCAGGAATTTGTCACTGTTCAGATTTTAAACCAAAATGTTCCTCGAGTATGTGCTTTGAAGTTCTTCCGAATCCCCTTTCCACTTGTTTCATATCCCCGAGTTTCATAACTTCCTGCTTCACCTCCTCTATCCTCTCCACAACCGCACTGAGCAGCAGTTCTGAGTCAGTTAACGATGTGTGCTTTACTAGTTGGGACCTTTCCTTGTCAAGCTGCTCATATAGATTCATAATATAGTTCCTTTGTGCAAAGAGCCTTTCTTCCGCAATGTTGTACTCCAATTCCTGTGACTTTCTCAACGACTGTAGAACTTGATCAATATCTTCATCGAGTTGAAGTGATTCAATTCGATGGTCAAAATGTGAAGACAAAATTCCAGGTAAATCAGTTTTGTTTTCTCGTGGTTCTATGGCTAACTCCAGTATACCATTTCCATTATGTGGTGCGCTCTCCCCTATCAATAAGGAAACAGACAAATCCAATAATTCAAGAGAGAAAAACATTAAGAAATAAGAACACATAATAAACGCTTTATGTAGTCATCATGGCAACTTATACTACTGGGTCAAAGCAAACTTTGGACAAGTTTTAAGCCCAAGGGAAGAGTAAGGGTGTGTTTGGTTCGAACATGGGAACCGGAATTGGAATGGGAATCAAAGACTTGGTAATTGGAATGGATTTTGTGAATGTATTTTGCATGTTTGGTAGCACGGTGGAATTAGAATGATTACCAATATTGATGTTTGGTTATGTATGACTATAATCAAAATAATGGTTTTAAAAAATACAAAAATAAAAAATCAAGGCAATTGATTTTAAGAGTGATGATGAAGTGAGTATGCAATGCACTGAGGAAGTCGATAAAGTGAGGAGGCGATGAAGTAAGGAGGGATAAGGTTGAATTAATGGAATGATACCTAATTTAATTAGGTGATGAGTTTTGTAATTATAGAGGTAATAAAATCCTATACCTGTGTTTTAAAAAGTTGTGAACCAAACAATGTGTATGACTTTCATTCTCATTCCTAGTGCCTAACCCCATGAACCAAACACACCCTAAATGATACTTGAAAAACATGTTTGTTGAACTATCCATGGATATAAATATGCTCGCTAATGTTTTATACAAAGTTATCAAGGCGGACTTTCTAGGCGAGATGCCACCAACTGCCTAGTCGACTAGGCGACCGCCTAGGCGATGACTAGGCGATGAGTATTAAATAAATAAAATATATACATATATATTGAGTCTTGGGCAGGCTATTTACTTCAATGTCTTTAGTAGATGAATAGTTTTTCCTAGAATAATGAGAAGTTTAGTATTTATTGTATATTGGAAATATCTTGTCTTGGGAAGCCTTTTTGAACCCTATTTACTTCAAGTATCTTTGAGAAGATGAATAGTTTTTCCTAGAATAATGAGAAGTCTAGTATTTATTGATAACATGTCAGGGTGAGGTAGTGGGCTTTGCTCGGAACAGGAGGACGACGCCGGAGCTCGAACAGCGCCGCCATCGGAGCCTCCACGCGCCGCCGCCGTGCCGCTGCTCCGACGCCACGCGCCGGCGCGCGAGGCAGATTCTGGCGTCTTCTCCGGCTGAAAATTACACCGGTCAACTCGCCTTAGTGTGTAGGTTCTGCCCATGTATGTTTTGGGGGGTTTTGGGTTGTATTTTGCACTTAGGCGAGGCGAGCGGACTAGGCGCAAGGCCGTGACCGCCCGGACGCCTAGGCGTCGCCTTGATAACCCTGGTTTTATAGCCATATGAAGTATTATTTTATTAGATTTAAGTCAATACTATCCTTTATAACACCCATCTACATACCATGAAAAATTTATATGAAGGCTAGAAAGCAAAATTTTGACGGCTGACACTAACAATTATGTTTTTCTTCCTAAAATACTAGTAATGTCATTAACCTAATATCATTAAGAAATCTATTTGATAATAGAATAACATATATACATAAAGAATCAAAAAATATTGTTTGGCACACAAAAGGGGCAGATAGAAATTACCAGTCACTACTTTATACGCTTCCTTATTCCACACATGCTCAAAGTCAGCTCCCATCTTAAGCTGGTTTCAATACAGATTAGTTACGATGGTTATTCGAAACCCCTAAAAGCAGCAAATATAAATTCCATAAGACAAACTAACATTGATTTAACTTCTGCTCAGCTATACCTTTGCCATGGCTGATTCAATATGTCGTAATAATTGCCTTGCAGTCATTTTCCGTGAGCCACGCAACATACAAATTGCAAGGTTCAACATCTTCTCAATCTCATCCCGAGATTCAATGGTTTCACAGGTCTGAAGAAGGTTCATGACAAGTGAAATAAGATCTGTTCTCGAATCACAGCGTCGACAAAAATATTCTGCATCTAGACCAATGCTTCCTCCTACTGTTCCAGCCACATAAGCTCTAAGAGCACAGTCTATATGGGCAATGTGTCCACAAATATGACCATCAACCACTGTTGCCTTACATCTAATGTAATGATAACCACCAACTGCTGTATTAATAGTCTTACAACAAAGAATACAGCAACACTCTCGGCAGAATCTGGGTTCACTACAGCAAATGTCACAAAACATGGCTTCCAAAGGAGAAGGAACAGGTGCTTCTGATAAACTGCTGCACATTTTGTTACCAGCCTTGCAACCACCAGGTTCGAAATGAGACTCAAACCCTGAAATTTCTGTTTTCAGCCCAGAAGATGCAAACTCCTCATCAAACATCTATACCAGACCAAATAGCTAGCCAGTAAATAAGTGCAAAATTGAAAATTCATGTGTAAAATGTAAATATAACATCCTCCAAACAGTTGATACCGGATTACCAGTCAAACCCACAATCAAACAGTTCAATTACAGGAATGTAGAAGAGAGCAAAAGAAATCTTTGTGACTTAATTACATACTTATAATAGATATCTATCGAATCTGGGAAGTATACATCATATAAATCCTTTACAGACAATCATGAAAATTCGTTAGTAGTAATCCCTCCATCCCATTTAGTGTCATAGACAGTATTCTGGTGAACAATTTGACTAAATTTCGCCTAACATAATGATAAATTCAATGTGTGAAAATAAAAATCATATATTATCAAACTACATGAAAAATACTACTTACATTGAAAATCAAATAATCAATTTTTGAAGAGAATATGCACACAATTAAAATGGGACAGAAGTAGTACAAAGGATAGAGGATCCATCTTCTTGGCAACTTCAATAGCATATTGAAAGGTAGCTATTATCCTAATTCAGCGTTTTTTATTCTTCACACTAACTCTCAAATGGTATAGTGCATAAGAGAGATCACTGTTGCAAAAATCCCGCCTAGGCACCGATTAATCGGAGCCAAGGCGCTAGGCACTGACCGACCGCCTAGCGAATCACCATAATTGGTGGCCAAAGCGGTTGGCCGGCTAGTCGGCCGACTAGGCCGCCTAGGCGCTAATCGCCTAGGCCTCCTAGACTTAGCTATTGTTCCCTTCTTTTTAAAATGGGTTATTTCACTCAAAACGACATCGTTTTTAGCGAAATAACAAAATCGTTCAAACTTTAGATTTTTTAGGTTAATTTGTAATATTTTAGTATTAACTATTAAAGTATTAAATAGTTTATAATTATCAAGTCTTAAAAAATTTTAAAAATTTAAACAAATTTAAAAAAAAAAAAATACACGGGCGCTTAGGCGCCGATTAATCCCCACCTAGGCGCCCTAGGCGCTAGGCTCCCCCCGAGCGCCGGAAGAGCGCCTAGCAATTTTTTCAACCATGAGAGAGATAACATTTGTTCAACAAATCCTAGGATTTGGTAAGACTCAAAATCTTCTATGCTATGAGTTCTATAATTGGCTCCAGTACAGAACGTGGGAACTCAAGATTTGTGGGATTTTAATCAACCATCAGAGCCACAGTAATTCATAAAAGACAATACTAAACTAATTTTCTTAACAAAAACACAAGCAGACAAAAACTTCATTTCCATATGGCATAAAACTAAATCTCACACCTAATGAACACAATTCACAAATTGTTTAAATGGAGCCAAAATATTACATGCCTCTTTTTAAATCAGGTTTAAAAAAAAAAAAAAAAAAAAAAAAATACAGTCAAATTCTGAATACCTTACAAATACCTTACATATTTCCTACTATATGAATATGATTTAACCTCTCCTAATTGAATACTGAAGGGGTCTCCAAATTTGTACTTTGACAAGATTGAATAAGTTTTACACACAAATTGAAGGGACCTAATGTTATTGGCCTGAATAATGCACCCCAACAAAAAAGGCATAATTATCAAATTCTTATAATAAAAGTAGCATGTTGCCTTGAAGCCATTAAAGTAAAGTAGACATATCTAGCTACATAAATTACAGTTTTTGACAAATCAATCAATAAATAATTAAAATAATCCAAACTGTTATATCATTTAAAATATTAAAGCTAACCTTTTGACACAAACTGTTTTGAGGGAATCTTCCAACTAAATGAAGCAAAGAACGCATTAACATCTGTGCCAGGAAACATTGACTGGACATATTGTTCAACTGAGAGCTTGCTAGCAAAATTCCTCCTCTGTCCGGGTTTTCCAATTTTCCCCAGACGGCTTGGTAGATACAGGTACCTATCCATAAAGTAACCTGAAGCTGCTATTCGTTTCCCTGCCTTCCAGCGCCACTTATCACCAGGATTAGGCCAATCTTCAGGAGCATATGGCAAACCTTCACCTGAATCATTTGGAGACACTGGATAGAGGTGAAGTCCATTTTCCTTGTGTTCAGGTGTGCTTCTGTTACTTGCAGCTGGATTGTCCTTGTTCTCGACTGTGCTTCTGTTACTTGCATCTGGATTGTCAATATCCATAGATTCATTCATGGCCAACATGTAGCAAAACTGTTTAGCTGTATGCAAATAAATAAAAATATTAATTTTTAGGAAAACAAAGAACCAAATTTTGAAGTAGTGTTTGTTCATAGCAATATAGCAGTCAGGTATATCCTTTAGAATGCGAAACACAAAAAAATAAGCACCAAGCATCTCTCTGTCATGTGTGGCAACAGGCTGAAGCAAACAATTGTAACTAAAAGAACAGTAAAGAAGTAATTTCCTATTGCAAGAAAAGCAGGATCAAGTTATAAGCATCTAAAATTATGTTGATACAAAAAGAGAATAGGGATATCAATTCCACTTGAAACAAAGGACCAATTTACTAATTGGAGAAATTTTCAATTTTTTCTGAAAAATAAAAAACTAAAAAATGGAAAAGAAAATGTTTACTTGCATAGTTTCTATTTTGAAAACTGAAAAACACTTTTTTCTTGATTTCCAAATATTCCAAATACAAAAGCACACATAATTTCATTTATAGTCACCATTTTCATTACCTACATACTTCTACTGATTTCCAAATATTCCATGTTAGAGGAATAGGGAGTTAGTTGAGAGGATCTCTCTTAGCCTTAGTTTTAGGTGTTTGAAATCTATGGCTAGGATTAGTTCTTGTCTTATATAAATAGCTCTATACTTCCTTGTATATTGACACACAGAACATATAGAAATATACAAGTTGAGTTCATTGTTTAACATGGTATCAGAGCGAGATTGAGGTAACCGGGTGGTGGGTGTTGGTCGGAAAGAGGAGGCGACGCCGGCGGGAGAGGCGGAGCAGCCACCGAAGTCCTCACGCGCCGGCGCAGTCCTAGGGTTCCAACGTCACGCGCCGGCGCGTGGGCAATTCTCCGGCGTCTTCTCCGGTCGCGGCTGGTACCGTTGGGCTCGTCTCTGGACACCCAACGCGTCTGCAGTGGTGGTGTACTCTGGTGTTGCGAAGGGCTACTGCGTTTTGGACTGCTACGTTTTGGACTACTGCGTTTTGGACTAATACGTTTTGGACTGCTGCATTTTTGGACTGCTGCGTTTTCAGGTTGGTCTGTTTTGTATATTATGGCTGAGGAGAGTGAGCAGAGGATGGAGTGTTGGGTCGAGTGGTTCAGTGAGGGGTTTGGGTTCATAACCCCCGGTGACGGCAGAGGGGATTTGTTTGTTCACCAGTCTGGTGTCAGCCGAGAAAGAGAGACAATCGAGAGATGGTAGGGGAGGTCCACAAAGCTGGGTGGTCCGAGGTCCATGAAGCTGGGTGGTCCGAGGTCCACGAAGCTGAGAAATAATTAGGCAGTAGTTTTCTTTTGTTTATCGTATTCGTATTAATAAGTCTTGACCTTTGTATTTTGTTTATCATAGTTTGTCGCTCAAAATTAATTTGATATGGGAGCAATTCTAGGGTCTGAGTTGAGTCAAGTGCAGCTTGTTCAGTGTGCGTAAACAGGGGTGCTGCAGGAGTGGGCAGCACAGGTGCCAAGAGTGGGGCGGACCTGGCATATGCCGCGGGGGAGGCCGACGGTTGAAGAATGATTCAGAGTGAATCAGTTTACGTGCATGCACCAGGGAAACGTTGTAGTGTTAGGCAGCGTTGATAAGGGTGCATGGTGAGAGGGACAAGTGCACTGTGGTCTAGCAGCGCTAATGGTTTGTGGAGTGAGAAGCAGGTACGCTGTGGTGTTAGGCAGCGGTGATAAGGGTGTGGGGTGTGAGAGGCAGGTGCGGCGCTGTGTTGATTGGCCTAGTTTTTGTTGGCTCCATAGAAGTGTTGTTGGTGCGACAAGGTGCGTTGTGGACTTGTTTGACACAGCGTGGTTCGAAGGTTGTTCGAGTGGTTCAAGACTGGGGCGTTAGTCATGGAAGTTATGAGTCTAGGTCCTATGGTTCATGTGATACATATGTAACAAGTTGGATGCTCCAACTTGAGGGGGAGTGTTAGAGGAATAGGGAGTTAGTTGAGAGGATCTCTCTTAGCCTTAGTTTTAGGTGTTTGAAATCTATGGCTAGGATTAGTTCTTGTCTTATATAAATAGCTCTATACTTCCTTGTACATTGACACACAGAACATATAGAAATATACAAGTTGAGTTCATTGTTTAACATTCCAAATACAAAAACACACATAGTTTATTTATGGCCACTATTTTCATTACCTACAAACTTCTACTTTATCTATCTATATGTACCTACCATCCACCTACCCAGTGCCCACCCCATCCCTACTCCTACCACCTACCTATCTATATAGCTATTCGTACCACCATCTACTCACCACACCCTCACCCTATTGTTAGTCATGCTATATTCGAATATAAATTTAGTTTAAATATTGGATGTTAAAATTTCACATATGCTAGACCCAAACGCAAAAGTTGTATACAAAAGTGAATTTAATTCGAACATAAACCTACAAGGAGTTCTCGATTATGGCATATGTATACCACCATGAATTCAAAACAGGACTTAAAAAAAAAAATTAATAACAAATAAAATGTGCTATAATGATTCAAAGCTATTTACTAGTATGATAAAAGGATATCAACATGCTTATAGAATAACACAAAGTAACTAGACCCCTCAGTAGCACTGAAGACTACCAAATCATTCTAATTGAGAAAAATTCAGAAAAATTTAAACTTTCAGGCTCAAATTCTTTCCTCATAAAGGAAATGGGATTTTTTGGAGTGATATCACTATTTTCAAATTTAAAATCAATCAATATGAGGCAGTAGCTCTATCATCTATATTACCTAACTTATATGAACCACTATCTTAGATGCTTGTAGGGAATAACTAAGAAAATTACATATGAAGCACTAGCTTGATCACACATTTCAAAAGAACCATAGGAATGAAATTGGCATTCATACCAAATATAAATTGTCTTACCCTCTGCCACTAAAAATATTGTGCTTTACTAGCCAAAAAACATATTCCGCTTTTCATTTATTTTTCCACAGTTCATTCCCATTGGCATCTTGTTTATAAGAAATAAGAAACATTTAAGCATCCAACCATCATCTATCGAAATTTAGGGTTCGATGTCTTGCCATTTTCAGATGCCAACCATTTGCATGAAATCCACAAAAAGACACACTCAAACAAAAACATATATATGAATAGATGCAGTATGTCCGTATATATAAGTACATTTGTATGCATATGAGCATTTACCGAAATATTAGCTCCACGAAAATCGTGAGTGAACTGAAAAAGGACTGAATCGAATGTTCCAGATATCTGTGTGGAGTGTGGACGTACACTGCAGGGCAATTGAGAGTGCTAGAGTTTAGCAGTTGGAAACTGAAATTTCCGATCTAGAAACCCTACACCAGCGAGAGAGCACCAGGCGGTGGCGCAAGCCGTCTACCGGCGATTTGTTCTGTATTAAAGACTACTTTGGAAAGACTAATTTCGGAATAAACGCTTCGAGGCTGATGCTAATTGCATTAACACCCATCGGAAAATGCTACTGTATTTAGTAAAAGAGGTAATCCCACAAAAGGCACAAATGTTCCTCGGACTATTAGAAGGTTAGAAGTCTTTTTACTTCTCGACTTTCAGTTTGATTAAAACTCCTACTTGGACTTTTGTTTTTTTTTTATCACAAATTAGTATTTTCACTCCAGCATTATATGGAATGAATAACGAATATTGTATAGTGCAATTGATGAAATAAGTTGGATCGAATATATTTTTTGATGTTATTCTCGCTTTTTTATTATATAGTTAGCTAAAAAAATTAAAGATGAAATTATAAATGGTTCTAATATTTGAAAATGTACATTTATTTAAGAATTAAGAGTAAATACCCAAAATGGTCCCTCGACTATAGCTAAATTCACAAATTGGTCCTTGACTTTCAATTTCAACCAATTAAGTCCTTAACTTTGCAATTTTAACACGATTTGGTCCTCTGTCTATTTAATCGTTTGTTGACCGTGATCTTTGAGGATATATATGTAATTTCACGTGCAAAGCTCAAGAGAACGCTCTTGGATGTGACATCGCTATTTCGGGGGAGGAAGTGCTTCTCCGCTTGTTGCTTGGGGATTACGAGCCGGTTCAGCTTAGAGAACGCTCTTGGAGGTCACAGCGCCGTTTCGGAGGGGGAAGCGCTTCCCCGCTTGCTGCTTGGGGATCACGAGCCGGTTCAGCTTGCCTCTCGAAGAGCCGCTCTAGGGACTTCGCAGATCAATTTATCAAAAGCTATAATCTCTCTGGTATGGGGTGCAACGCCGGCCTGATCTCGATCGATCTCGCACGTGACCTCCTGTACGTGCACCCCAACTCTAACGCCTTGGTGGTTAGCACGTCGTCTTCTTCGCTCTGGTATGAACTCAACTACATTGAATCCAAAGGGAGGATGAAGAAAGGAGACCGAATTTGGTAGATTGCTTTCGGCAGTGGATTCAAATGTAACAGTGCGGTCTGGAAATGCAAACGGAACCTTAAAAAACCGACGATAGACCATGAAATTACATATATATCCTCAAAAATCACAGTCAACAAACGGTCAAATATACGGAGGATCAAATCGTGTTAAAATTGCAAAGTTAAGGACTTAATTGGTTGAAATTGAAAGTCGAGGACTAATTTAAAAATTTAGCTATAGTCGAGGGACCAATTTGGGTATTTACTCTTTATTTAATCCTATATATAAAAAAGCCAAACAGATTTGGTGTAAATTCCCGCTCAAAGTTTTGGAGTTCTTTTTCCCTTTTTGATTTTTTTAATTAGAAATTATTGCCTTTAAAAGTTGGCATTTTGGCCATATTCTAAAAGTCATAGCATTTGCGTGTAATAAACCTGTTTCCTGACAACTTTTCAGTCCTATTCCCTGAGCACCTCTGCTGCTAGCTTCTATTTCCAAGGCACCATTAAAAAATAATAATTTTTGCTGAGTACAACACAAGCAAGCATGTACACATTTTTAAAATTAAATTTTACTGAGAAAATGCCTATAAATAGATGGTTCTGTGGTGAAACCCACATCTACAATGATGGTAAACCAATTTGAAGGACTGATTATTTGTTTCTCATTTGTTTTGTTGCAGGAGAAGAGATCAGAGACTCAGGGAGGCAAAGCTTAGCATGAAATCCATGAATACACATGCTCAGAAAAGCTAATAGAAACCCTTTTTAAGGATTTCAATAGCATACCACCTGCATAAATTTCCAAGCGTTCTTACTGCCATTGACACCTGAAATTATTAAGAGCAAAGTATGATCATAATAGCAATACAACTCAAATCCATGTAAGTACATGCCTATTCTTACATTCTCAATGGTAATGTGCTCATCTTAAATAGTTATCTTCCATTGTTGTCTCTTAGTTACTGTATGTTATGTTCTTCAACATATTCATGCATATTAGTGAAGCAAATATTCACATGGAGCTATATGTTGATTGCATTTTAACGAAAATTATGCTATATATCAGAATATAAGAAAAGGAAAACGAAATTGAGTGTGTGAGTAGCTGATTAGACAACATTCAAATACATCCGCTAGGGAAACATATAGCCATAAAATAACATAAAAGAGGTTCAAGAGTCAGATCCAAGGTTAAACCATGTATGCAATTAAAAAAAATGGTATAAAACAATTTATGTTATGCTATATATAACATATCAGAATATATACGAAAAGGAGCAAAGAGCATGCGGCATTCAAGCTGAGTGGAACATTCAACAAGCCAATAATTGGCAGCAAGAAATCAACTTTCCTAAACCATCACAACAAGGCTAAATTTTCAGACACAAACTGCAATATGAGGTAATTGATGAAATCTTCTGAAACTAGAAAGTAATAAGAAGTATAGGAAGTTGGCATTTTTGTACTTACAGCATCAAAGGAACTCTACCAGTAATTGGATATGTTTAGTTCACATTATGTAGTTATCAGATGCAACTTTCCCCATTAACCTGAAATCAATTTAACCAATCAACCCACATACAGGTAAAATTTATTGCCATTTTTACTCTTTTTTATTTGTTGGTTTACATATACTCCCTTTTAACTATATCCATAGAGACAGTGAGAGGGAGGGAGGGTTAGAATCCAATACCAAATCACCTATCCAGTACCATATGAATGACAAAAAAAATCAAATGCAAGGCAGTCAAATGATCTGTTTAGTTACAAAAATACATGCCTGTTTAAAATCCAATTTTCCTTCATATGAACTTTATTTTGAGAAAATAAATATGCTAAATTGTTCAGAAATTTACACACTCAATAACACATTACCAATAATAGATTAACAGTTGGACTGGAAAGTAAAAAAGCATGCATTAGATACGGGTTGTCTGCAAAAATATGAGAAAATTGACACATATATAATAAACTAATACACAACATCTATACCTATTTCATCAAATATTTGTGCTGTATGTAATATATTGCCTAAAAATGTTCCTTTTTTAAAACCTTTTCTGTAATTTCTGAAATTTCGTATATTAAAAAAAAAATACAGCTCAATACTGCAATTTTGAAAAAATGTATACAAATGAAACACAGTCTATTTACACGGAGAAAAATGAAGATTACACAGAGAAAAATGAAGGAAAATTGATAGGTGAACCCTTAACCCTAACCCTAATTCTAATGTGGAGAATGAATAATGAGGAATTGCAGTAAAACGATGAAGCGGTTAAAACACAGCACCTGTTCGATGGATTGCCTCACAGGTATGCTGAGAGAAGGTCTTCGAGCATGAAAGCGTTGAGGGCATAGAGCCGTAGACGCCGAGGGCGGAGAACCGGAACTGGAGAGGCTGCGACACATAGAGAGACAATATCGACACATAGAGAGACGGAGGGAGGCTGAGATCGCCGAGGGCAGAGAGCTGGACACGCCGATGGTGGAGAGCAGGAGACGTCGATAGAGACAGAGAGAGACAATGCGAGGGCTGAGAGGCGAAGAGTGCGATGAGGACGTCAGAGGGATGGGTGTTAGCGTTAGAGTTGTATTTGGGGGTGTGTGTCTTAGTGTCTATACACAGCCGGGTTGCTTGGATTTTATATGGTGGGTTTTGGGTCGAGTTTGGGCTGCAAATTTGGGCCTGGACGTTGGGTTTTATTATATAATAATATACATAATGATATGTATATAGATGGACTGGCCCAGTTAAGTAGAAATTGAAATATATATTATTAGTTATTTATAATATTAATTTGTTATAAATATTGATTTCAAAAAATATTTTTAAAGTTTTTTTAAAGTGTAATTTATATTTGAAAGACCAATATTTTATATTGTTGAATTGAGATATAATTTTATATTCTAAGTCTTCTAATATTTGATTTAATATAAAATAGATATTATAATGATGTAAAATTGTTAGTGGAATAAATCTATTTACAAATATTATACACATTAAAATTATTGACTTAATTTAAATTTTTTATTTATGTGTAGTTTTTCTACTAATTATATGTGTGTGAACATTATTGACTTAATTCATTCTTGTTTATTTATGTTATATTTGTGCATCACAATATATAAGTTCAATTATATAGTTTTTTATACATGTATTATGTTGAATTTATTATTTGCCAAAAAATAATGAATTTATTTACAATGATATATTCATATCATTTGGTTACTATATTATATTATCGATTAATATTGTTAGAGTATATTCTTATATAATCGATCGAATTGATATCGTGTAACGCACGAGTAACATCGTAGAATAATTTTAATATGTTGATACTATTGAATGCCCACACAAGTGGCATATTAAATTTTAGTGGATACCACTAAACCATTAATTTAAATTGTAAGATTCTATTTTCATTATTTTTAAACGTATTAGATTACATATTTATAATAAAAATCTATAATTATATGTTACTCCGTATTTCATTTTTAAAAAATATATACGTAAAAATATTAATATTAACCCATAATAATCCATTTAATATTTTTTTATGTTGTATTAAATTTTTCATACAATTTTGATTTTTAGTAATTACCCAACTTAAATATCAATTTTTATTTTAATTATAAATATTTGAATTTATAATTTTATCATAACAAATCAACTTAATTATTAAATAATATAAATTAATAAATAAAATAAAATCTCATTTTTTATATGTAAAATTTAATAATATATCATACTTTTAATATTTTAAATACTTAATCCGTGCATCGCACGGGTGAAATACTAGTTATAAGATTAGTGCAAAAATACCACTCAATTAATTGAATAATATATGACTCATTTGTCTACAATTATCTTAAAAATCGATATGTAATATGATTTATATAATTATATTATTACTAAAATAAATATAGAAAAAAGGAAAAATAATTTAATTATTTAATTATAATTATTATAAAACAGTCTAACAACCTATGTTTAGCTTAATTATCATAATAATTATTAGACAATTATACTAATATATGTGCAGTTATACCTTTTATACTTTTATACCTTAAGTATATTTATTTTCACCATATTGCCTTTATTTTTTTTTTCCTCATCCTCCGTGTCAAAATTAATAAATTGTAATTATTATTAAAAAAAAAATCAACGACTCATGTTTAATTGTAATCCATACTATCTATCTATCAATAGTTATGTCGTGCAACCGTGTGTATGGGTGTCAATACGGGCCGGCCCGCCTCATTAGGCCCGCACCACCGCGGGCTTTTTATTTGGCGGGCCGGCCCGCAAAACCCGCGGGCTTAGAACTATACAACCCAAGCCCGCCCCATGCGGGCTTGCGGGTCTCGCGGGCTGACCCGCGGGCCATCACTTAAATTATCACTTAAATTTAAAAAAAAAAAATTAAATAGTATATAAACATTTTAAAACCGCTTGAAATATGGCACCATAAACTTCCATAAAATTCATAAACCTTGCCCAAATCTCTCGGATCGATGCCACGCGTTCAGCAGAACTGTAGAAGGGTGATCAAAGCTAGGGTTCAACGTAACAGCACACTCGATTTCTCTCTCGGCTTCAGATTTTCCCTCTACAATTCCCGTCTGTGTATAATACATATATAAATATGTATGTTTGCTAGACTTGGAGGCGATTTAGTAATTCATAAATATGTATGAATTGATGATTCAGTTTTAGTAATTATTTGATAGAGTTGAGGCGGATGGAGACGGGAAAACCGAAGAACTACGTACTCTAGGAATTATTGAATTAAGAATTGGCGAAGGATTATTGAATTATTGGATTTCTCCCCTTCTGCGTACTCTTAGATAGTTAGATCTACACATTGCCTAAGAATTAAGATATTATATATATGATTTTTTTCTAAAAGATATTATATATATAATTTATTATTACTTTTTTTAAATATGACCTGGCTCGCGGGCCGGCCCGCAACCCACGTGGGTTTGCCCGCGCGAGCTCTGGCCCTCCGCGGACCATGCCCGTTAGGCCCGCATTTTCGCGAGCCTAATTTCTTGCGGCCCTAACCCGCCCCATTGCGGGGCGGGTGCGGGCTAACCCGCGGGCTTCGGCCCACTTTGACACCCCTAACCGTGTGCACCATGCATAGTGCACACGGTTGCAAAACGACGTCGTTTTGACTAAAAACGCGTCCCATTTAAAAAAAAAATCAGTTTCGATTCCCCTCAACAACATTATTATGGATATATAGTTATGAATTTGTGGATATATAGTTATGAATTTGTAGATATATACTTATGAATTTATGGATAGAGCAAATTACCAAAATGGCCACTCGACTATGTCAATTTCACTAATTTCGTCCCACTCATTTTGAATTCGCTAATTGCATCCTTCGACTATCAAAATTTTAACCATTTTAATCCTTCGGTGACTTAAACGGTAATTTTTTATGGGTATTATTGGAAGTTTACTATGAATTCGCCATTTTCATCATCCTCATCCGACATAGAAGCAATTCGCCGTTTTCGGTCGCCGCGTGGTGGAAAACCGCCCGGCTCTACACGGATCAGACTGGCGGTAATGTTTCTCGTAATGTGCGGCTCGGCGCCGAGAAGAACGATAGGTTTTGCTCTCACGGAAAATCCCTGACTCGATTGAGCGTTCAGTCCGTGATTAAATCCGCCGTGACTGCCATGACCCGGCCCATACCCATCAACCCGAAGGGTGGGGTTTACCCGTTGCTGACGTCAAACGACGTCTACGTCCAGGATTTCTGCAACAATGTCAGCGGCTTCCATTACTTCACATTCCCGTCGATCGTGGGGTACACGCTCCCGTACGCCTGGGTCGGAAACTCCGGCAAGCTCTGCCCGGGCACCTGCGCCTACCCTTTCGTCGTTCCCGATTACATTCCGGGCTTGAAGGCCGTGAAACCCCCCAACGACGACGTTGGGGTGGACGGGATGATAAGCGTGATCGGGCACGAGATCGCAGAGCTCTCTACCAACCCATTGGTGAACGCGTGGTACGCCGGGCAGGACCCGGTTTTTTCCGATGGAAATCGCCGACCTCGGTGAAAGGATATACCGCACTGGCGGCGGGGGGTCGTAGACCGGCTAAATGTTGGCTGGCAAAGACGGCACGACTTATAACGTGAACGGGGTTAGACGGAGGTTCTTGGTGTAGTGGCTATGGAATCATGTGCTAAATTACTGCACTAGCCCTAATGCACGAGACCAGTGAATTGATTTTTTGCTCATCCCCTATGGGCATTGAGCATGGAGTCGCCGTCTTTGCTTCTACGTCGGAGGAAGAGGATGAAAATGGCGAATGCATAGTAAACTTCCAATAATACCCCTAAAAAATTACTGTTTAAGTCACCGGAGGACTAAAATGGTTAAAATTTTGATAGTCGAAGGATGCAATTAGCGAATTCAAAATGAGTAGGACGAAATTAGTGAAATCGACATAGTCAAGGGACCATTTAGGTAATTTGCTCTTTATGAATATTTAGTTCATTCATTATGGATATTTAGTTCATTCGTTGTGGATATTTAGTTCATTCATTCTGGATTTTGTGTTATTCATTCACTGTGGATATATAGTTATGAATTTGTGGATATACAATTTAAATTATGCACAAAAAATACTGTTGCCGGGAATCGAACCTGATTTTTTTTTAAGTGGGACGCGCGTTTTTAGTCAAAACGACGTCGTTTTTGCAACCGTGTGCACCATACATAGTGCACACGGTTGCACAGCATAATTTGCGATCTATCTATAGTCTATACTATAGATAAAAATAAAATCCTTCATTTTAACTTCCCGCCCAAAACATTCCTATACTATTAAGATTTGCTTAATATTGTAAAATAATATAATGCAATTCATAATAGAATATATTGTTTACTACTCTCATATTCGTACTACAATTCTACATTAAAATTCTTATTCTAATATTATAAAATAAAATAGTGTAATACAATTCCTAATAGAATATATTATTTCGTACTTTCCTTTTCCTATTCGTACTACAATTTTACATTAAAATTCCTATTCATAATACAATACAACAATATTATAATTCATATTTCTATTCAATAGGAAAGTAGGAAACAATATATTCTATTAGGAATTTACAATACTAGTATTTTACCCATCATATATGTTAAAATTAAAGATATAGAAACATATATGGTATATCTACTATACTAATAAGAGCCCAAGAAAGTTAGGCCTATAATAGGTAGAAAAAATGGCGGTCAAATCTTTTAATCAATTGAATGACTCAAATTGATCAGATTTTAATTTTTTCTTAAGATTTCCCTAATTGATCCTTAATGAATATGATTATCCGTTAACTTTTCCGTTAAATATTATATTTTCCATTAATTTCTGTTAGTTCACCGTTAACTTACTCATTCATTTCAATAAGAAAGGTCTTAGGTTCGACCTCATCTCAATCAAAGTTGGCATAATTAGTACTCTATTTTACTCTTATTAAATTAAATAATAATTTAGTAGCTACAACAAAAAATAATACATATGTATTTCATTAATTTAGAATTATGTGTCTACAAGATCTTTATTCAAAAAAATTATTCATTATCAATAAATTAAATAATATAAATAATTTCATTAGTTATATTGTATTTATTTTTCTCCAATATAAAAATTCTTTACATTCAAATTATTATATTCGCTACATTGTCCCTACAATGTC